GGCGGGGTCGTCAGGGCTGGCAGCCAGGCGCTCGGCGATGGCCCGCACCGCGCCCTGCTGGGCCAGCACCAGGCGGTGCGCTGGGGTGGCGCCCAGGTTGCGCAGGGCCCGAATGATGCTCTGTAGGCACTCGCTGTCCTGGGAGCTGGCAAGGACTTGAACCAGGGGTGGCACCGCACCTGGGAGGGGGCGGAGAGAGAAAGGGGGTTAGTGAGCCCCAGATCCAGAGAATGAACCCCAACTACCCCCTCCCAGGTAGGCAGGGGACTCCTCAGTATGCAGGTGAACCCCAACATGGCTCCTCTCTGGTACGGGGTGAACGCCAATATTACCCCCACAAGGGATCAGAGAGTGGGCTCCCCAATATAGGCGTGAACCCCATTATCCCTCAGGTCAGCAGGGCGCTCCTGGTATGGGGGTGAGCCCCCCTATTACTCCCATGCAAGCAAGCAGAGAGGGGCTCCCTGTATGGAACAATTCCCATTACCCCAGCCCAGGTCAGCAGGGGATTCCCAGTACGGGGTGAGCCTCAGTACTACACTTCAGCTAGCAGGATCCGAGGGGCTCCCCAATATGGGGCAAGAATCCCAGTTCCTAGTCTTCTCCCATCCTCCATTCGCAGGTTGGCAAGGGGGGGGCATGACCCCACTCACCAGCATCATGGATAGCCTGCAGGTTCTCTACGTCAATGGCCAGGTTGCCCAGGGCCCGTGCTGTCCGGTTGTGGATACTTTCGACTCCAAGCGATTTCAGGATCATCACTGGGGGGAGAGAGAGAGAAAGAAAACATCTATGAACCATGGTGAGTGCATTATCCCTCGCACAGAGCTGAGATGCAGCCATCTCTGGGGGGGGTCAAAGGGGCTGTTTATCCAGGGATTTCTCGTCCAGCGCTGAGGTGCAGCCACCTCCGGGGTGGGGCACGGGGGCTGTTTATACAGCGATCCCTTGTCCAGTGCGGAAATGTAGCCGCCTCTGGGGTGGACATGAGACCCAAGGAGAGATGGAGGGGGCACAGGCCTGTACCACCAGTGGGGACCCCAAATTGTACCATGCATGCACGGGGCGAACGCCAAGCCACGCCGTGCCCAGGGAAAAGAGAAATCAAGGCACAGCACTATTGCAGCACCAATGGGGGAGCCCAAGTTCCACAATGTGAGAGCACAGGGGCCCCAGATGCAACCTCCCAGGGCGGGCAGGCGGGCGGGCGCAGGGCAACCCTGGACCGTGAGAATCCAGAAACATGCCACTTCGGCTGCGGGGCGCCCTGGACAGTACCATTTCAGCTCGGTGGGATTTAAGCTGCACCTCCAGGCTAACAGGTGCAAGGAGACCGCAGACTGTACCAATTTGGCCTGGCCATTGCAGGGTAACCCCAGATCATACCACTACATCTCAAGGGGACCACAGACAGTACCATTTTGGCTCGGAGGGGGGACCCAGAGCAGGGTAACCCCAGACTGTGCCACCCTGGCTCGGGGAGGGGGGAGTACCCAGGCTCCACCCCCAGGCCTGGCAGGAATAGGGTAACCCTGGACTGTACCACTCTGGCTCGGGGCGGGACGACGACACCCAGGCTGCACCCCCAGGCCTGGCAGGTGGCCCCGGACCGTACCATTTCGCGTCGGGGATTCCCCATCGCGTCACTCACCCAGCGAGGGGATCCCCCCCAGCTCCCGCACCTGGGCCCGGCTCCCCCCCTCGGTGCAGCAGTTGCCCAGGATGCTGAGGGCCAGGTCGAGGGTGCGGCGGGGCCGGAGGGCCCCAGCCAGGAGCCCCAGCAGGGGCCCCAGCCCCCCGCGGGCCCGGAACCGCTCGATCCCGCCGGGCTGCTTGATGTGCCGGGTCCGCAGGGCCAACAGGGCCCGGCCCAGCCCGGGCTCGGCCCCGCCCTGCAGCTGGGCCAGGCAGTAGCCCAGCGACTCGGCGGGGCAGCTCCCCCCGGCTGCGGCGGCCATCGCGGGACTGGCCCAAGGGCAAGAGCAACGGGGGAAGGGGGGGCCCTTGAAAGGGGTCCGGCCCCGGGGGTTTGTGGGAGTTGTAGTTCGGGCCCGGACAGGGTCCGCGCTAAAGGCGGCCGGTAGAACTACACCTCCCACGAGGCGCGGGGAGAGCGCGATGCATTGTGGGGGCTGTAGTTCTCCCCACCGGAGCTGATGGGGAAAGGACTACAGCTCCCAGAAGGCATAGCGCGGGGGGCTCTGCTCGGGCGGGGAGCAATGCCTGCCGGGGGCTGCGGTTCTCACCTCCGCTGGGGGCGTGGCTGCGGGGGCTGTCACACTGCCCGGGGGTCTGCCACCGCCCTGGCGCTGACGAGCGGGGAGGGGTCTACACGGAGGGGGAGGAGCCACAGAGAACCAGTGGGCGGGGTCAGACTGTTGGACAGCTGCTGTCACCCACCCTAGCGCCCACTCCCGGGTCCTGTCCCCGGCTCTGGCAGGGGAGTGGGTTCGAGGGGGCGCGGGAGCCAGGACTCGGGTTCTGTCATTGGCTGCCTCACTGACTCCCTTCCCCAGTTGGTGCCTCACTTTCCCCACATGCCACGCCAGGAGAACATGTCCGACTGCAGTGGGGCGCAAACTTACCATAGGCAGGGCTGAAAGCCCCCCAGGAATCAGCACACACGCACTGGGTGGGGGGCCCACAGGTTGGCAGGGGGCAGCTGCACCCTAGGCTCCTGTTTGGTACCAGTTCACCTAGCGTTGCATCAGGGAGTTCGGAGGAACTGCAGAGAAGATGGGAACCCACCGCCCCAGGGTCTGATCATAGATTCATAGGGTTAGAAGGGACTGCAGGAGTCATCTGGCCTAACCCCCTGCAGGTGCCCAATAGACCCCACTCCCCTGCCAGAACTGGGATAGAACCCAGGAGTCCTGGCTCCCATGCCCCCTCCAAAACAATAGACTCCATCCCTACCATCTCTTCTCCACGCTTTAGCTGTGCAGAGCACTAACCCCTCAGGGGCGCTGGGCCCCTGGAGAGAGACAGAGGTTATAAGCAAGGATGACATGACCTCTGTCTGCACAACCCCCAGGCCTGAGGGGAGATCAGTTGTTGGGGTGAAGCACAGCAGAGTTTACACTGTCAGCAGCTGCCTGTTTACAGGCTCCCAGCGAGGAGAGGAAGACACTTCCCTCTGGGTACAACACAGACCAGTTCCCACAAGCTGGCCCAGTTATCCAAACTGGTTCCCAGTCAGACTTGTAGATGCTACCGACAAAGAGAGAGTCCTCTGTCCCCTGTCCCCACATGCCTTTGTGATCTGAGCCCCCTAACCCCAAACTGGTCCTGAGTCCAGACCCCCCTTGTTTAACTCATTGGACTCCACTCCCCTCCCAGAGCTCTGAGGAGAACCCAGGAGTTCTGACTCTCAGCCCTCCCCCATCCCACTCACTACACTAACCCACTAGACCCTGCCCCCCATTAATGACTGTCATGGTCAGTACAGGTCACAGTGGGGAAGCAGCCAACCTCATGAATTTAAAACCCTTGTATGGGCCGTGGTATGTCACCAAAATTATCTGGCCTCATCCTCCTGCCCTGTTTTCAGAGGGTCCCAGCGACTCCACATCTCCAGGCTAGAGAACCAGTCGGGGCAGGGGTGGGGGATCAACGCCAACTTTGACCCTTCTTGCACCCCATCCTGGGACCAGGACACCTGGTTCTCCCCCCAGCTCTGGGAGGGGAGTGGGGTCTAGTAGGTGAGATGGGAGGTTGTGAGTGAGGACTCCGGGTTCTAGCCCCAGCTGAGGGGTTCAAGGAAGTCTTCTGGCTCCTGGAGACCTGTGGGTATTCCCCACATGTTGAGCAGGTTGTATGAAAGACACCAGCCTGACACTGTTGTGAGTCAGTCTCAGCCTGTTAAATGGGAAATGAGAACCTGTAAACCCAGGAAGCACGGTTGCTCCATCCGCCCAGCTTGAGTTTCAGCAGATGGGGAAACAGATCTGGGTATCATGGGGTTACAGAAGATGACATCAGCATCTTCACCTTGTACACCCGCCAGCTGCCCAACGCCCTCAGGGAGCTATGAACACACCTGGTAGTTCAGGAGAGGGGGCTGGCCCAATGCCCCAGAGCGGCATTAGGGGGTGCTGTGCGGGAGTGGAGTGGGAGGGGCTCAATAGAGGGCGCTCTCTATCCTCTGAGTGCCAATAACTGAGGGTGGCAAAAGTCTAGTCTAATAATTTAGACGTGGGGACTGAGAGCCAGGACACCTGGGTTCTGCCCTCAGCTCTGAGAGGGGAGTGCGATCTAGTGGGTTAGATCAGGAGGAGCAGGAAACAAGGACTCCTGGGTTCCATCCCCAGCTCTCGGCGGGCAATAAGGGGCAGTGGTTCAGGGACATCTGCTCACCCCAGGGTGGGTATGAGGTACCCTTCCAGCAGTGGGGGACATGCTGTGCCCCATGCCGGGCTGCCCTGTGTCACTTCCTTCTTGCGCCATCTCCCCTGCACATCCCTTCCAAGAAGAGCGAGAGCCAACGTGGGCATCTGAGACCAGCTCTCCCCCTACAGAGGGTGCCCACGGCCTCCCAGGTTGGCGCCCCTTTCTCCTCTTTCTCACCGTCCCCCTCTTTCCTTCCCACTCCCTGGTTTTCTCTCTCCCTCCCTTCCCAACCTCTCTCTGTCACTGCCCCACCCCGTGGATGTAACTCATCCCTTCCCTGTAATTCCACCCCCCGGCTGCACTGGGCTGGACTGGGCGGTGACCCCATGTATATAAGGAGCTGCAAGGAGCCCTTCACCCCTGCAGTGTGACCTTCCCCCACCAGGCACAGAGCAGGTGAGAACTGCTTGCTGCTGAGCATCTCTAGGGGCCTGTCTCCTGTAGGGGCGCCAGCTCCAGGGGTGGGAAATGAGGCATGGGGCCTGTCCCCTCTAGGGCGCAGGCTCCAATCTGGCCCCAGAGTGGGGCACTGGCTGGACCAGGGCAGGGGAGTTGAATCCAGACTCTCCAATCCTTTCTCCAGGTTGCTGTCAGCAGGTGACATCGGAGACATGAATCCTGCCTGGGTCCAGCACCTCATTGTCCTGGGGACGCTGCTGGGCGCCGGCTTCACCAGTGCCGATACAACAGGTAAAGCTGCTCCCCAGCCCGCCCCGCCCCTGCTCTACAGTGACCCTACCTGCTGGGGCCAAGCCCAGGGGAGGGAGGGGGCAGCAGGATGTGGTTATTTATTGGCCACCTCCCGGCTCTGACCCCCTCCCCCACCTCTCTCTGTCCTGCAGGTTCCTGGTGCTACGAAGACCCCAAATGTGGTAAGAGAACCCATCCATCCCCTGCGACACAGACATGCAGCCTTTGACCTCACCCAGAGTGGGATTAATTACTCTTTTCTCACTTTTTGGGTGGGTGGGGAAACTGAGGCACAGAGAAGGGGTGGGGCAGCCCCACCTCCCTGCTCTAAACCACAACCCCTCCCAGAGCCGTGTGTAAAACCCAGGAGCCTCCCCTGCTCTAACTGACTAGACAGCATTCCCTGGCCGGAGCTGCAGAGAGAACCCAGGAGTTCTGACTCCCAGCTCCCCCACTTTATCACACCAGAGCCCACTCCGCTGCCAGAGTCAGGGACAGAACCCAGGAATCCTGACTCTTGGACTAAAATTTGGGGGGAGGGATAGCTCAGTGGTTTGAGCACTGGCCTGCTAAACCCAGGGTTGTGAGTTCAATCCTTGAGGGGGCCATTTAGAGATCTGGGGCAAAAATTGGAGATTGGTCCTGCTTTGAGCAGGGGTTGGACTAGATGACCTCCTGAGGTCCCTTCCAACCCTGATATTCTATGATTCATGCAGCCACCTCTGGGGTGGGTGACACCAGCTGATTAACATTCTGACTCCTCCCCCATTTTCTTCTGTGGCCCTTCCCCCTCCCTGTTGGCTTCTCCCCTCTTGGCAGGTCCAGAGACATGGGCGGCTCTGGGTCACTGTAACGGCACCAGGCAATCCCCGATCAACATCGTCACCCTTGATACTGTCCACAATCCCCACCTGGGGGCTGTGTCCCTCGCTGGCTATGGGGATGCCAGGAAGCTTATCTCCATGGAAAACAAGGGGACGACAGGTAGGCACAGACTGCCCCTAAACCGAGCACCCTGCACTGCCAGGCCAGATGCCTGGGTCCCAGAGCCAGAACTAGGCATTTTAGCACCTGTGGTGAGCAAACATATCTGTGCCCCCCAGAGGTGACACATGGGGGGGCAGGCAGGGGGCCTGTGGCCCCCCCCCCCGATTTTGCCTTCCATTTAACACAGAAGGGGAGAGGAGCCCTGCCACCCGCCCTGCCTGGGGAGCACCTGGCTGTGCAGAGGTGGCCTGGCTCGGGGCACAGGGCAGGGAGGGCTGCCTGGCAGCCAGCCAGCACCCTGGCTCCCCATAGCTCAGAGACCCAGGGGCCCAAGCGGGCAGGTCGCTCCCACCAGCTTCTGAACCAAACAGTGGGGCACACCTGGGTGGCTGCCCGGCTCACCCTGCCCATGTTACAGCCCTGCTGGGTCCCATTCCCCACCCTGGTCCCTGCCCCGGAGTGAGTGCCCAGCACTGCCACTCCGGACGCCTGGGTCCCATTCCCTGTGTTGGTCTCTCTCCCCACCCCCTACAGTGGACGTGCTTTTAGCAGATGGGCTCCGTCTCAGCGCCCAGGGGCTCCCAGCTATCTACACAGCCAAATCCTTCCACCTGCACTGGGGCCAGGGGGCAGCCCAGCCTGGCTCGGAGCATTTCATCAATTACCAAGGATTCTCCATGGAGGTGAGAGAGGCAGGGGGCGCAGCACTGGCCCCAGTGCCCCAGTGCAGAGCTAGGGGATGCTGTACGGTCTGGAGTGGGCTGTGGGGGCAGAGCGGGGGGCGCCGTGCTGCAGGGAGCAGGCAGGAGGCTCAGCAGGGGGCGCTGTGCTGCAGGGAGCAGGCGGGGGGCTCAGCAGGGGGCGCTGTGCTGCAGGGAGCAGGTGGGGGGCTCCGTAGAGGGCGCTGTGCTGCAGGGAGCACGCAGGGGCTCCATAGGGGGCACTCTCCAATTTTTCTCTCTCTCCCCCTTTAGCTCCACATTGTTCATACCAAGAACAACCTGAGCGTGGCTGACGCCCTCAAGGATCCCGAGGGAATCGCTGTGCTGGCCTTCTTCCTCCAGGTGAGGCAGTGCGGGGCGACAAGCCCGGACTCCTGGGTTCTATCCCCAGCTCTGGACAGGCAGCGGGGTCCAGTGGGGGCTGGGCAGCAGGACTCCTGGGTTCTCTGGACGGGAAATGGTATCTAATGATTCGAGGAGGGACCGGAGTCTTACCCTGAGTCACTCTATGACTCCCAGCCCTCCCCACGCCTCAGTTTCTCTATTTGCTGTACTCATGTGGTCTTGTCCCTCAGGCAACAGCCCACACACGCCCCTCCCACTCCTGGGATTCCTTCACCCAACACTTGAAGAAGGTGGCTCTGAAGGGTGAGTATCCCCTGAACTGGGGTGCGCGAGAGGTGGATTACGGCTGGCCTAGCATTGGGGTTGGGGACAGTACAGCTCTGTGCCACCAGGGGGCGAGAGAGACTAATGGATGAGAGGAGCGGGGTTGGGGCTAGGAGTCCGGGCTACTGGGTTCTGTCCCTAAAGCTGGGAGGAGAGTGGCATCTAGTGGGTTAGAGCAGGGGGGCTGGGAGCTAGGACTCCTGGGTTCTATCCCCAGCTCTGGGCGGGGCCCTCACTCTCCCTCTGCCCCTCCAGGGAAGAAAACAGATCTGGACGGCTCCTTCTCCCTGCGGGAGCTCCTGGGCTCCGTGGACCTAGCCCGCTATTACCGCTACCAGGGCTCCCTCACCACCCCCAACTGTGACGAAGTCGTGGTCTGGACTGTCTTCCCCGACCCCATCCTGGTGCCTCCTGGCGTGGTGAGTGTGGGGCTGGGGGGAAGGGAGGAGTCAGGACTCCTGGGTTCTCTCCCCAGCTTTGGGAGGGGAGTGGAGTCTAGTGGGTTAGAGCAGAGGGGGCTGGGAGTCAGGGCTCCTGGGCTCTTTTTCCAGCTCACCTCCCCTCTGCTGTTCAAACCCCCACTCTCTCTGCTCCAAAGTGGTCCCCATCAGAACCTTCCCAGTTCTCTCCATTGATGGGGTGTCCTCCTCTGCACGCAGTAGGGCACCCCAAGTTTGCCTCCCCCCTCAATTTGACCCCCCCACACTAATCTGTCTCTCTCTCCCCAGGTGGCTGCGTTCCCCTCCATCCTCAGCTCCACAAACTCAGATGCTGGGCCCCGGCTACAGAACAACTACCGGCCTCTGCAGAGCCTTGGGAATCGCCACGTGCAGGCCTCGTCGGGCCTCCGAGTCGCCCCCAGCTCCTCTTCCACCCTGCGGCCTGCAACCTTGATCCCTCTGCTCATCAGTACCGCAGCAATTGCCTGGCACCTATAAAGGGACAGAGCCAGACACGGGGGGTGCTAGGAGCCAGGACTCCTGGGTTCCATTCCTGGTTCAGCCACAGACTCCCTATGTGACCGTCATCAAGCACCATCCCCGCTCTGGGCCTCAGTTCCCCATAGATAAAATAGTGATAGGTTTTGCTCCACAGTCCTGGAGACAGCATTGATCACAGTCCTCTTGGAGACTGGATGGGAACACAACCTTCAGCTAATATATCTGTTAAGGAAAAGTTAGCATATGTGACTCCATTTTGGTTTGGGGCCCACCATTGTCTAAAAGCAAGCAAGTTGTTGGGGACACTGGGTCATGGCCACTAGGTAACTCGAGGGGATGGAAGACCACGAGTGTCGATGAAGCCCCCTTGCACTAGGCCCAAGTGTCCTTGGGCCCCCTCCCGCCTGGAGGCACTCGCAGCAGTTATGCTGAGGATCTGCAACAATATGCTGCAGAGTCAGACTGCCTGAAACGACGCAAGGCCAAACAGGGCAGATATGGAAGAACAATGCTGAATAAAGCAGCTTTATGTATGGTTTAAGAAATGATACAGAGAACAAGGGAACTAGCTGGGAACTGGATTGGCTGGCTATATGGATACTTAGGGCAGCTTGCTATTGGATAGGTATGCTGGGGAAAAGGATGTATAAAAGCCTGTGTAACTTCCTGCTCTGTGTGCAGGATTTGAGATTTTATTCTCCCTGTACCTTTTTGCAGCTACAAATAAACTTTTCTGCTTCTCCACCCCGTTGTGATTCTTGGGTGTAGCACACTGGGCAGCGAACCAACTCCAGCTGTTGTTTAGCCTCTCGGCACTGGGTGCCAGCAACAGCTTTTGGCGTCCCTGGGTGGGTGACGAGGCTGCAATTTAGCCTTGCCCGGACCCCTCCTGGAGGTCGAGGATTGCGGCGAGAACCGACGCCCAGCGTGCACCGGTGAGTTCACCGGGGGCCTCGGAGGAGACGCGATTTGATAGACCCCGGAGGGCACAATGGTGCAACACACTCATATAGTGGAGAAGTTGTTGTGGACGACGGTGAGGAACCGGTCCCTTAGACATGGGGGAGGAGCAGCTGCAGGCCACGGTGAAGAACCGGTCCCTTGAATAAGGTAGGAACCTTTTGAAATCCGGATTGTATGCTCTGTTGCAACCTGGGGACGCCCAGAGTTACCCTGTAGGTATGGGACAGGGACAGAGCTCGGGGGTTAGGGCACGGTGTACGCCCCTAGAGTGCATTCTAGCAAACTGGAAGGTATTTGGTGCGGATCCGATGACTAAGAGCCAATTAAAACGATTCTGTACAGTTGACTGGCTTCAATATCAACTAGAGGACCAGGAGTGGTGGCCACCAGGAGGGTCAATTAATTACAACATAATCCTCCAATTAGTTTTGTTTTGTCAGTGAATGGGTAAATGGAATGAATACTTGTATGCACAAGCATTTATGGCTTTAAGAAATAGAATAGAGCTGTAATTCTGCAGAGTTGTAATTTGACTCCGACTGGTTCGGTAGCAGCTAATGTTAGTCCCCAGACCCCCACCCCCACTGTAAAGGCAGAGCCGGTGTCCCCTTCGGCCCCCACGCCCCCACCTTATAAGGGTAGGATGCCTCGGGTTACAGAGATTGTCCCCTCGGTGGGACTCTATCCTTTGCTTACCGAGACCATTGTGGCTTGCCCAGGGGCAGACAGACGTCAGCCTACCACTATGCAAGTTTACACCCATGTGCCATTCAATCCAATAGACTTAGCAGCTTTCAAAGCACAGGCAGGAGAGTTTTCCACCAACCCAAGCCGGTTTATATCAGTCTTTGAGGGGTGCCTCAGCAGCCACAAGCCGGACTGGGATGATTGTAACGTCCTCCTGCGAACCCTATTGTCTGAGGTTGAAAGACAACAGGTTGTGTCCAAGGCAAGGGAGGAGGCACAGAGATGGTACGACCGGGGTCGTATTAATGTCCCTGACCCGGATGCACAAGTCCCCCGAGCAGATCCCAGGTGGGATCCGAATGATCCTGGGGATATGACCCGCCTTACCTCCTATAAGGAGTTGCTTTTCCATGGACTCCATCACTCAGCTGTCCGACATAATAATTGGGCAAAGCCATATGAAGTAATGCAGGATTTAAAAGAAAGCCCAGGGGCCTTTCTACAGCGTATTCGGGACACCATTCGACAGAACACTAATGCAGACCCCGATGATCAGGCAACTGAGTCAATTATTAAGGGAATTTTTACGAGCAGAGCAGCCCCTGATATTAAGAGAAAGTTACAAAAAAAAGAGGATTTAATGGGCATGACCATGACACAAATCTTAGAGACTGCAAACCGAGCTTATAGTCTGAGAGAGACAGAGAAGGAGAGAGAGCAAGTGAGATTGATGGTAACAGCGGTACAGGCCGGCACTAAGAGAAGTGGCCGGGGAGGAAGGGGCCATGGACACGAACGTCCGGGCCCGCAGGAGAGACGACTGGGTCGCAACCAGTGTGCCTTGTGTCGACAAGAGGGACACCGGAAAAATGAGTGCCCAAAGAGGAAAGAAAAGGGGGGTGCCTCCGTGATGGCGATGGTGGAGCAGGAATAGGGGTATCAGGGGAGACGGACCACCCTACCCCCAGAACCCCAAGTAAAGATGGGGGTGGGAAGCTCAGAAATAGATTTTTTAGTGGGCTCTGGAGCGGCACGAACTGCTGTAAATCAGCCTCTTCAGTTGCCAGTAGCAGATTCCCTTACTGTGGTGGTGTTGCCGGCACCCAGTGCCGAGAGGCTGAACAACAGCTTGAGTTGGTTCGTTACCCGGTGTGCTGCACCCAATAATCACAATGGGGTGGAGAAGCAGAAAAGTTTATTTGAAGCTTCAAAAAGGTACAGGGAGATTTGAATCTCAAATCCTGTACAACAGAGCAGGAAGTTACACAGGCTTTTATACATCCTTTTTCCCAGCATACTTATCCAATAGCAAGCTGCTCCAAGTATCCATATAGCCAGCCAATCCAGTTCCCAGCTAGTTCCCTGATTCATAGAATCATAGAATCATAGAATATAAGGGTTGGAAGGGACCCCAGAAGGTCATCTAGTCCAACCCCTGCTCAAAGCAGGACCAATTCCCAGTTAAATCATCCCAGCCAGGGCTTTGTCAAGCCTGACCTTAAAAACCTCTAAGGAAGGAGATTCTACCACCTCCCTAGGTAACGCATTCCAGTGTTTCACCACCCTCTTAGTGAAAAAGTTTTTCCTAATATCCAATCTAAACCTCCCCCACTGCAGCTTGAGACCATTACTCCTCGTTCTGTCATCTGCTACCATTGAGAACAGTCTAGAGCCATCCTCTTTGGAACCCCCTTTTGGTAGTTGAAAGCAGCTATCAAATCCCCCTCATTCTTCTCTTCCGCAGACTAAACAATCCCAGCTCCCTCAGCCTCTCCTCATAACTCATGTGTTCCAGCCCCCTAATCATTTTTGTTGAAATGATTCTTTGTATCATTTGTTAAATCATACATAAAGCTGCTTTATTCAGCATTGTTCTTCCATATCTCCCCTGTTTGGCCTTGCTTAGTTTCAGGCAGTCTGACTCTGCAACATACTGTTGCAGATTCTCAGCATAACTGCTGTGTGTGCCTCCAGGCGGGGGGGCCAAGGACACTTGGGCCTAGCACGCAGAGCTGCTGCGAGTGCCTCCAGGCGCGGGGGGGGGGGGGCAAGGACACCGGGGCCTAGTGCGAGGGGGCTTCATCGACACTCGTGGTCTTCCATCCCCTCGAGTTACCTAGTGGCCATGTCCCAGTGTTCCCAACAACTCCCCCCTTTGAGAACACTCAACAGCCTTGGCTCTGAGTTTTCTCACTTGAGCTACTTATTTCCTTACAATAGGACTTTGCATAAGCACTTTGTGATAGCCCTGAAGAGAAGGACTTATTAACTTTTGCAAAAGGGCCCTGACACATGATACCGCACAGCATAATACCAGTAATACAAGCAATACAGGAAAGAGAAATTTCAATAGCTGGCTAAATAAACCACCAAGCCAAGATGACAAACCCCAGCCTGAAAACAAGGTTTGCAACCAATCGTTCTCTGGGGCAGTATAGGCAACCTGTGCTCCGGCTCGGGCATGGGCCTCAGCCTGTACCACCTTTTCATAGATCTCATAACTGCTATCATTTACATATACACAACATCGGGGCCCGACGAGGGCACAAAACCCTCCTTGGGATGCCAAGAGATAGTCCAAAGCCAGCCTGTTTTGGAGGGAAAACGTCCTGAGCTGCTGTACCTCTTTATTTAATGTTTTTACTGCTGACCCTAAATCACTAACCGAGTCCTCCAACTCTAAGGCCACTTTCTCAAGTACCATCTGCAGCCTTACAGTATAGCGGCCTATGCATGCCAGGGCTAGCCCGGTAAACAGTGGTGCTATTCCCAGTACAGAGCACCCTACCAGCTTCTCGGTTGTGAGGGGATTCTTCATATTGCCCTCCAATGCCTTAGTCAGTCGCCGCAGGGTCTTTTCTCGTGACTCAACAGAGGTGTCTCGGGCATTTCTAATCTTTCCTTTGGGCAGTGTGGCAGTTATGGAAAGATGAGGAACTCCATGAGCTATATAACAGCTACCTGTCCAGTTGGCTGGCAGCACCTTGTAAGCCTTTCGGCCACATACAAAATAGTGACCCTGTAGGGCCCAGTAAGGACTGTTTCTTAAGGGGATTCCTGGGATATTTAAGGCTGCTTTTCCAAACAGTTCATATGCCCCTAAGGGGGCATCCCATCCTCCTGATTGGGTACAAGTGGGGGCGTTTCTAATTGTGCCGTTCAAATTACACTCGCCATAGGGACCACTACAAACCCACCATTGGCTTGCTACATTGGAGATATTAACTGGATGGCAAGTTACATTTCCAAACCCCTTTTTGTGGTAAGATTATTTGTGTTTCCCTAAAAGGGGAGGAACCATTACACCCACACCGTTGGCCTCCCTGTTGCTCTTTATCCAATACCCATCAGCCCACTGTGTAATAACACAGGAGTTCTTTCCCACAGGATGCCCATAGGGATCAGATTGGTTTCGGGTAAAACATAACACTCCTTCAGTGAGTACTGCAACTGAATACTCCTGGTCCTGATAGGTGGCTTGCTGTAAAGAGGTCTTGTTCCAGAACGGTGAGTTCGTTCTTTCCTGCTCTTTGGTGGTGGCTAATTCTGCTAGGGTCAAGGGCAGCATGTCAAGGGGCATTCCCATTTTGGGGGACAGTGGAGTTGGAGCACATACCCAGCAATCAGTCTGGTTTGTTAAATTAGCAACATGGTGCGCAAGCAAAACAAAGGAGTTATGCTCCCGATATGCACAGTTTGGAAATACCAATACAAAGAATAACAATGTTACTCAATTAATTATTACCAGAGTTTTCCCAACCCAAGGTCTCCAATACCTGGGTGGGCCCATTTTAGCATTAAGGTGCCCGCTATTTGTGTCTTTTAAACAGTAGCTTTAGCCCGAGATCGTCACTAGATGAGGAGTCAGCAGGTTGGACGGTCCACTGTTCTGCTGACGAGGGGGCAGGTACTGCCTTCAGACGAGAGTGATGGATCCAGTTCTTGTGGCCCTCGATCTTTGCCGCTGTATGGGAGGTCAGCAGGACGGTATAGGGTCCTTTCCACTTTTCCTGGAGAGGCTCGTCTTTCCAGGTGCGAACAAGCACAGAGTCACCGGGCTGTAAGGAGTGAATGGG